CTTTCAGAAGTGGTGTGCCGAGTCTTCATTTATTCACTCTAATTTAAGGTTTTGCGTGCCAGTAATACATTTTAACGTTTTTAGAAGGTCTCTTTCTATAAGTCCATAATATATAACTAAAATATTGTTGTATATAAATTAAACAAGGTTTTTAAAATGTTTAAGAAGCTTCATTTAAAATTAAAATAAAATGCAGAGCCCCCCGAACCAGAGGCCAGGACCCAGGCAGTGAGAGTGCCACTGAAAATCAGCTCGTGTGCCGCTTTTGGCACGCGTGCCATAGGTTGCCTACCCCTGTTCTAAAGTCTTCAGCCATGCAAAGTTTTAGCAGAGTTTGGAGCATCGGAACGACACAGTTAGGGTCCCATTTATACTACAAGATGGAACCATATTTTGACCAGGTTGGGGGAAACAACTGTATTGTAACTGTCTCCCAACACTCCCGAATCTGCAGTTTAGATGGCCTGGTAGTTTTGTAGGGTGAAGTGACCCCATTAACCACCTTCTCAAAAAAGAAGGAAATAATTGTATTTTACTATTGTTCCACCACTGAGCAGAGATTTCCCATACCCGTGCTGTTTTAAAGAGATTATGTCAGGTGCTCCATTCCTTGCCTGCTAGTAAAATAAAGGTTTTATAATCCCTATTAGGTGAAATGTCAATGGTTATTTTTATTTTAGTGCAAGCAGTTAGGATTGAAACATTCCTTTACTATGTTTGCAACACAGACATTGCAGCATTGTGTTCCTATGAACCAGACACTGGAACCAACTAAAACACAAGGGCAAATGACTTGTTTATTTTTATTGCCCAAGCTAAGTGAAATGCAAAAAGGAAAAGAGTATAAATACAGAAATGAAAGTTAGAAATTCATCCAGTTTTACCGTATTATGTCATTACTGGACACAGAAATGTATCTTTTAACAAACAGATGAACGTCTGATAGTCTCTCTTAAAAAAGGTCTAATAGAACATTGCCTACATAGTAGCACGCTGAAAACAGTAAACAGAAAGTCAAAGATGGAAGTGCTAAGTCACAAAAATATGAACTAATTGTGGTGGCATCTTCATAATGCACAGTTGGCTATATGTTGAGTAAGTACTAATGATGTCATTTGAGCCTGAGAAGCCCGCCTGAGAAGCCCGCCTGAGGACAGTACCAGTCACCAGGAGAGGAGACGTAGACTGAGCAGCTCCACTGGCACCGCATCTTCAGAGGCCTCAAATGCAAGCACTGTTGGGTGATGTTTAAATTCAAACACAAACTGTTTTCACTAAAGTTTTTAGACAGTGATGGCCACACAAATGTTCTTTTTAACATTAGATTTGTGTAAATAAATAATTTTTAAAACACTAACTCTAAATTGAATCTAGCTGACAGTGAAGCTTTAAATTAACAAAAGAAGTGTTGAACTGTGCACTACAAAAAGCTAACCACTGCAGATGTAACCGGATAGGATAATAAATGAAGAGCTTTTAGTGGCAAGCTGTTGGCTGTATAATAGGGAACGCTGAATAGTTTTGTTCTACACAAAGCTCCTTTTTCATTGGGTTACTTTAATTATACTCTTAAGAGCATTTTTTTCCTTGTGAAAGGTGAAGGATTACAGTGCTTTTATGTATATAGCATTCTGGAGGCAAGTTATCATTTCACATATAACAGGTCATGGTTATGTCAATGTTTACCTACATTATGTTATCTGGAAATGTAACTTGTTTCTTGAGTTTCATCCATTTTCAAATATTTTCCCCCCAATTTGGCAAAGCAATTACTCCACATTAGTGCAGACAGATGCCTGTTCACGTAGCTCAAGAAGGCACTGGAAAAATCTTCCAGTCTACTATTCAACAGATTAGCCCCATTTCAGAAAATGTTTCAAAACAATCTGCTTCATCACTCAACATTTGTATGCAAGGTGAAGCAAACTGTATAATAAATCACATTATGAACTCAAAGTGTACTCAATGTAAACTGGCAATGTGAATTCAACAATGTCAACCAATAAAAGCAATAGACACAGGTATATATGTACTCAGCACAATACAATACAAAAATATGAAGACCGACCCAGCACAAAGAAGTGGAGAATAAAATGACCCTCCTCAAAAGAGCATCAGCACAAGATTTATGACCCGATTTAAATCCCATTTTGAGAGCATAAATGAGGAGATACTGTAGGCATGCACCTAAGTGTGTACACTTTGGGCATATCCCATTTAAACGTGCAACCTTCCACCCCAAAACGTGCATGTAAGATAGGTTAGTGAACCTGTAAACCTACAGTATCCGTGCACTTACGAACTCCACATGCACTCACAGATCAAGGTTTGTGCACACTTGGTAACAAATTTAGTCAAAAATTTGGTCCAATGTGACTTTTGCCTAAGAGTGGAATCCTGACACAGCTGAGTACTCCTAAGAGGGCAATACTCATGCAGAACTGGAAGGTAACATAACAAAGCTGGGAGATGGACTTCTTTGCTCCAACATACTAGTAAGGCTCTGAATACTCAAACAGTTCATCAGTTGTCAGGAATTGTGGGGTACTGGAAGGTCAGTAACGATGCAATACTTACACTGATTTTTTTACTACTCTCATATGCCAATTTTGGGCCATGTGGATTCATGTTGTGCATGGAATACAGTCAAGCCCTTGACCTATTCACTTTCTCTTTTCTACATTCTCTTGTGAAGATCTGCCACAGCAGATTCACATTTATAGCATACATTCGAGTGCAAAACCACCCTGCATGAATTTCCCACTGTATTCCACATCTATATCCCAGAAAAGCAGCATTTCTGCTGCTAGTCAACACACCTGTACATACCAGCTCAGGATCTTGATTTTTTAAAAACAAAGTGAGCAAAACGCATTTGAAATGACTCTACAAACCTAACATTTGTATTGCCTTAGGTACTTACTGAAAGCTATTAAATGTCATGTTATTATAGCTCATTGTAATAAGGCAGTAAGGCAAGCTTAACGTTAATGTTCCTTCCTAGCAAATACTTTACCAATTTGACAGAATATCATCCATAGGAAGCACTGAGCCGTTGAATCAAGATTCTATGTCAATGCTGCATAGCGTAGGGTATACAACAGTACATTTTAGAGATAAAAATCAGGTTAGATCCTCAGGTGAAAGTGAAATTAGATTCCTGACTTCACAAATTAACCTCTTCCAGAAATCCCAGCATAGAATTCAATGGCAACAGCAGTTTTGATTCAGTATTGGCTAGAACTGAGCCACAGAGGTAGAATAACTTAGGGTATTTCTTCACTGTCGAATTGACCTAGACTATGGCCCAAGTGTTTCCCCTAACTCCAGCTCAGCGAGAGGCGCAGGCAGAGTCAACGGGGGCGCGGCAGCAGTCGACTCACCATAGTGAAGACACCACGGTAAGTCGATCTAAGTTCGTCAACTTCAGCTATGTTATTCACGTAGCTGAAGTTGCGTAACTTAGATGTCCTGTCCCCCCCCCCCCCCAGTGTAGACCAGGCCTTAGTTATTACCTGTAGACAGGACAGTATCGCTGAGTCTGAGTTCCACTCCTTGAGGAGCTACGTGAAGGACTTAGGCTTCTGTTATCTGAACCATGCTGGTTTACTGTAAATAATCTCTAAAGAGACTAGACATCCATAACCTTAAATATGCAAAATATGCAGCTAGTACATTTGAAAAACATGACAGCTCAGTGGAGCTGCAATATACGAGATACCTGACTCTTCTTTCTACCTTCACATTTCTTCTTCCTGCAGGGCTGCCCAGGGGGGAGGGGGAGGCAAGTGGGGCAGTATGCCCCGGGCCCCACAGGGGCCCCCACGAGAATGTTGGAGGCTCCCCCCCACCCGCGCCTCCGCCTTCCCCCATCCCCCAGCGCCTCAACGCGCCGCGACCAGTAGCGGCCCTGGACAGCGCTGCAGTGGCGTGGCTCGGGCAGGGCCCAAGGTCCTCCCGCTCGGAGCCATGTGGTAAGGGGGCGGGGCGGCGAGCTCCAGCGGGGCGAGTGGCAGGAGCTCCTGGACGCGGCTCGCTGAGGCTCTGGGAGGCGGGGGTAACCGGCATGGTAAGCCCCTCTGAGCCGAGCACCCCCCCCAGCCCTGACCCCCAGCTCCGAGCCCAGCACCTCTGAGCCGGGCACCCCCTGACCCCATCCCCCTCCCCAGCCCTGACCCCCAGCTCTGAGCCCAGCCCCACTGAACCGGACACTCCCCCCCGACCCCATCCCCCCACAGCCCTGACCCCCAGCTCCAAGCCCAGCCCCTTTGAGCTGGGAACCCCCTGACCCCATCCCCCCACAGCCCTGACCCCCAGCTCCGAGCCCAGCCCCTCTGAGCCGGGCACCCCCTGACCCAGAGCCCAGCTCCCCACCCAGCCCTGGGCAACAGTAGCACCACCCCCAGGCAGTGAGAGCCCATTGGCACCAATCATCACCATCACCCAGCGACAGCCCATTATGTAATTGCAAATGTATACATACCATTAAAGCATTTAATGTTTTTAAATAATGTATTTCGTGTATTTTCAAATTATTAAAAATTAATTTTTGAATGTATTTCACTGGTTATTTTTTACATTTCCAAATACATGTTACTATAGTATTGCAACTTTTTTTTATGGAAGGGGCCCTCAAAATTCCTTTGCCCCAGGCCCCCTGAATCCTCTGGGCGGCCCTGTCTTCCTGACCCACTTCTCCCCATATAGCTGCCTTATGAGTTTCTGATGACTGTGTAATAATTAACCCCTCCCGTTCCTCAGCCTCCCGTAGTTATTTTACATAATGGTTTAAACAATTTCTTCCCTCCCCATCATTTGTCTATTGAAACTCTACTGATAAAGATAAGTCACCCCTGAGGGGACTGTTAGAGGGCTTTCCCTTCACCCCATCCCTTGGTTCTTGTCACAGACAGAAAGCAAAAGACCAGAAGTCCGAAGTGCAGGCAATGCAATGTTTATTGGGCTTAGTTCCAAGCAAACACATCCATAGCTCCACATACCAGCAGAGTCTGTTTCCCAGTGTTCCATTCCCAGCTCTGATCCCGCAGAGTGTTTATCCTGTATCCCTCTTCCCAGGTCTGACGCCGCAGAGCCTTGCCTGTGTCCCTGATCCGCATTCCCTATTCCCACTTCCTCCTTCATAGCAGGGACCAGGACAGGTCAGTGTACAAAGAGTATTTTGTTGGGTTCTTTCAAAATTTTTAGTGCATCAGAGCTCTGATTCCCTCCCCATCTTATTTAGAAATGGTATTTCCTAAGGTGTGTCATGCAAGATAGAGTCACACACCAGTCTGAAGGCTAGGTCAAATAGCTCTGTGTTCGATGCTACACAGACTTCTCTGAAGAGCTAGGCACATCTCTACCTCCGACTACTGTTGGCTCTAAAGAGAAGCTGCATGGTGAGAGTATCCTCCAAGTGCATTATTTGAACCTAAACCAGGGACTAACATGTAACCATTCCACAGCTGAGGGTCAGAATCCTGCATCCCAACCAGCAGTATTTAGTACATAGCCATGCTGTGGTCAATACTGCATGACTGCCCACTATGTTGCATTTTGACCAAGTGGAAATTGTGTACTGGATACACCTGGACTTTCTGATATCCCAAATCCTTTGCTCCAGTGCATGCCAGGGTGGGTGCAAACAGTCCACTCCTTAGCTCTCCTGCACAGCAGAAATACATTTCCACTGCACTTCAGGTTTTAAGATGACATGGCAACCCACTGAGAATTTGTCCAATGTTCTTAGAATGCATGGTTAGAAAATTCTAGCTATATGACTGAAACATTCACATGCAGAGGAGATACTCAGCAGCTCTAGTGTTATTTAATATACTTTAAATCACAGTCAACAATGTCACAGATGGAGTTTTACTAGAACTAGAAAGAAGGATGGGTAATGTTTTAAATGAGAATTTTTCTGTAGTCTGAGATCCAATAATGTGAATTACTGGTAAAAAAAAAAAAAAAAAACTTACTTTCCAGTGAAGAATTAATAGCAGCAACCTGTTGTAATACATCCTACTTCATCTGGCTGCTGAAACACTGGTATATTTGCTACTGAACTTTGAAATTTGGGTAAATCCCCTGGTGAGTCACATACATGAGGAAATGGATTACAGTCATTTGACTTTCTCTTAAAAAACTAGGAGAGAAATGCTGTAAAGCTCTCAAGGAAACAAATTTGACAGACTGCTATTCTCTTCTATGTTTCTTGCCATTATGTTCTGCCAAGCCTTGCTTTCAAACCAAGGGTGCCAACCTGTGAAAAAGGGCCATGCCTGCTCTGTCCAAGCTTAAAGACCATAGGAAGGTTTTTCCTCCTAACTACTACAGTGAAAAAAAGTAAGGTGTGATATACTGATTCACTCTAAATACACACTTATCCGCATAACAATGATGGATCCGGGAATAAATTAAGACAGTAACTTACTGACCTTTATATAGGGCCAGCTTCTGCCCCCTTACATTGAGAAGTACCTTGAGCAAATCCACTGGAACTGCACCCCATAGGCTAGTAAGGGCAAAATTAGTTCTTTAGTTATAGCCTTTTCCAGTGCATTCACAATGCATTTCTTACTGCCCTGTGGATATAGAAGTAATATGTTATATAAAAGAGTTTCAAATGTTTGGATAACTTCAAATTAATAGCTCCTCCGTGTTTATTTATAAAAGATCTTCTGACTCTGATTAACCTTCCAACTGCCATAGGGGAAAAGACACTTCAGTCTTGTAATGGTCCCTTAATATTAGTAAAATCAGTAAAGAAACTCAACCAGTTGAATCCATGGCTTTGTGTTAATGCACTTCATAATAGCAGAATTATTTTTCCAGTTTCAAGTACATCATAAAATAATTTTATCTTATGACTATGGTTTAATATTTGATTTGTATCCTAACAGTGTTGCTTGCAAGGCTGTATATTAGGGCTGCTGCTGTTTCCATTCTAGTCCCCTACCTGCACAAGATCATAACTCAACCAACTAATGTACTCCTGTCTGAAATGGCGCACAGCAGGGCTCAACCTGACAGCATTTCTTTCTTCTTTTTTTTTAAATAAACTAACTTTGCAAACAAGCCATTCACTTCGGTTTGAGTAACAGCAGTGCATGCTAGTGTTATGAGGTCTTTCATTCTAGGAATTAAAAGAAAATTCTCTTTAAATACAAAAAAATCTTTCAGCACCCAAAAGCAAATTTATAAAAGAAATTGTGCAGGCCTGTAATACTGATTAATTTACATAGACCATGGCACCTCTTAAATAAGAGACACACACAAAAAAGAAGTCTATTGTATCCACAGCAAATGTATTCATTCGAAACAGAACTATGATAAATGGTACTATTGACTGGGTCAGTGACTTTTTAAAAAGTTGGTTCCAATATCCTGTATAGGAAAGTAGGTGGTTTTTCGAGAGAGAGAGAGAGTGTGTAATACAAAAAAGGATTTGTCATTATTTCAATATACCTCCTAGGACTTCTAAGTACACTTAGGATAGATTTGTCATATTTGGGTGTAGAATTACAGAGCAAAATCCATATTTAGTTACCTAAAAACCATGTGGCCTGATTTTGAGTTTCTGAGCATGCACAACTTCTTCTAACTTTAGATGAGTTGCACATACTCAGCACATCTGAAAATCAGGCCATTCTTGTGGGGTCACTCAATAAGGATTTGGGTTCCTAAATTTAAGCAACCAAGTCTGAAAGATAAAAGCCTTAATACTGTTGTCCCTTCTTTCTACACTAGTGTGCCATTCTTCACACTGCTGTCCCTAACCCAGCTCCCATCCACACACAAAAAACTCTGACCCAAGTTTGCTGCTATCAACCTGGGCTAGCTAGCCCCCAGATAGATCCTTTCCACTCTGCAGTGTGGGCTCAAGCCAATCAAACGTGGTCCTTATAGCCCTCCAGTGCCATCCCACAATTCCTCCTGGTATATATATTTTATATATAATTTAAACACTGAACCAGTGTATATAAATTGATAGGTGACGCCTGGTACAGAAGAAGGGAGCAGGTTGATAACCAAAATATATACATTTTGCTAATCAACCTGCTCCCTTCTTCTGTACCAGGCATCACCCACCAGTTTATATACACTGGCTCAGCGTTTAAATCTCATGTTGCGCATGGCCTGCTGTACTGGCAACCTTTCTATATTTCTACTGCTCTTTCACAGCATTTGAAAAGAGAGCACATCCAGGAAATCATACTCCGAGCATACTGCCAGCTGGTGGGAGGCGGACACCAAGGTTCTGGATGATCACTGGTGTCATTAAGACCCAAAATTTGTGGAGATCTACCTGAAATCTGCAGGTCTACAAGGCCACTCCCCAGGAAGCTGGCTGAGGAGGGGATTTCATGGACAAGACCTCAGTTCAGGTAGAAAAATCAAATCCCTCCAGACTTCGTACTGCAAGACCAAAGTCCAGAACTCCCCATTCAGCAAGTCTTGGAGAATGTGCACATTCTCTGATGAGCTCGACCAAGTGCTCAGCACTACCCCGAGCACAGAGCCCATTTTCATGCTAAACAGAATTTTGACTCCAGGCAGTGTTTGTACTTGACCAGAGCCAGAGAGACCATAAGAGCAGACACCAGGAGAGCTGGAACCAGAGAGCAGTAGATGCTGCTGACTGGGCCAGGGCACAGCCAGCATGAACCTCAGGCTGCAGTCCCAGCACCTCTTCGGGGAGAGACAGGGCAATGGATCAGGGAGGATGTGGCAGAGGAACCAGCATCACTAAGTCAGGTAACATGCGATCCACCATAATTTTTTATTGTTATGGCGATATTACATCATAAGGCTTTGCCTGTTTATAACCAATCTCATTACTATAATAGCAAATGTTACAGGCTGTGGGCAGGCTTTTCATACAAAGCTTCACTGGAGGGTGGAAGAACCTCCATCTTCCCTGCCCTACACTCCTCTCTTCCCTCTTCCTGGCAACATGCGATCCAAGATGAATTCTATGGAGTGGGGCAAGGAAATATAAACATGCAACCCATGATCTATGGTGGCATACACTGCTGCATGTGAGCAAAGCAGGGAGTATCAGTACAAGCCAAGCAATGCCTGTAGATGCAAGGACACAGGCAGCACAAGCATATATAAGTGTGCATTTTCTCACACTGGCACTAACAGAGCATTTTCAGAGTCAGGTTGGATATTAAGTCTACTGCATGACCTGTGGTGGTATTAAGACTAGAGCACTTGCAAAGTCTCTTGGAGTATATCTACACTACAGAGACTATATCATGTAACCTGAATTCTACCGGTTTGATATCCAGCTGCTGCAGGCAGAAGGGGGGTTGCAAAGACACATCTGTGGTGGGTTTATGCTGCTGCATGCTAGTTCAGCACCCAGTTTATGTTGGACTGAATTTTAGTGCACTCCTGAGTTATAATGCGGAGACAAGTTTAGAGGCCCAGTTGCAGCTCCTTTGAGAATTGCATCATGAGACCTAAATACCGGTTTCACTGATGGGAGTTCTCATTAATTAACTTTAACAAGACCAGGCTTTGACATCCATGTACCTTTCTGATCTAATGAAATGAATGCTTTAAAGACCTGATAGTCCCAAAATACCAGCTGGTAAATACATGTTTGGAAAGATATGAACAGATAGATATTCTGAGCCTGATTCATGATGGTGATACACCAAGTTTTGAGCTGCTGTATTTCCACTGGCTTCAGTGGTGTTCTACTATTTTAAAACTAGTGATTCAGGCCCTTGGTTTAAAAAATGCAATTAGTTTTAACTATTGACCACGTTTTTATGGTTGAAAATGTCAATATTTCAGTCTTAACAGAAATGGTTGTTCTGTTTTTTCTCTCTCTTTTCGGACCCAAAATTTTAACGTTAAGTCTGAAGCATCGTGTTGAATTTCCATCATTAGCTCCAATTTCACTTAGCATCTGATTTCTTAAATCCTCTCTTTAAAAAATAGTATCAGTTGCTAGTTTCCTTTGCTGAGTTCAATGAAATTTGAATAAATTGCCATGAGTTTGATGAACAGTATCTGGAATGTTTGCTTTCACATTTAAAGGAAAAAGACAGTGACCTGATTTGCTTTATTCTACATATATTTAAAACACACACACACACAC